ATCTTTCTCTCTCTCTCTCTCTCTCTCTCTCTCTCTCTCTCTCTTTTCCTTTGATTTAAATTTTAATTTTGTTTTTGTCAGACTCATTCGATCGCATCTGTGACGTTTCGTAGACTACTCGATTTCGACACCTTGCATTTCTCATCTTAGGAAGGGAGAGATAGAGAGAGAGAGAGAGAGAGAGAGAGAGAGAAAGGGAGAGAGAGAGAGAGAGAGAGGGTGCGAAGGTCCGTCGAGTCGATATCAATATTCATCAGCGTCCTATGTTCGGCGGGTTCAAATTCCTAGGATTATCCGGAAACTTCACGTTGCTCCCTCCTCTCTATCCTTGTGCAATACTCGCAGCAGTGCAAAGCGAGAACAAACGCGAGAGTGAGAGAGGAAGAGAGATAGAGATAGAGAGAGAGAGAGAGAGAGAGAGAGATGCCTGGCATTCGCCGTGATGCTCCACCGCGGGATTCTAATCCGGGTACGCGGGCGTGTGTGACGTCATATTGCATAACAATTAATCAAGGTGCGATAACAGCTAGCCGTTGCGACGGAGTGGGAAACCCTGATAATCATTTCACCAGGCAGCTTAAAGTGCCACTAGTTAACGCTAAGCCGATTTAAAAGCGATTTAATATCCGGAATATTATACCTAGATTTCTCTTGCTTTCTCTCTCTCTCTCTCTCTCTCTCTCTCTCTCTCTCTCTCTCTCTCTATTTATCTCTTTTTATCTCTCTATCTTTCTGTCTCTCTTCTATTCGTTTTTCCTATCGTTCATGAGATTACGAAAGTGATTCTTTTCGTCTATCATTCGTCTTCTTATTATTTTACGTGATACGAGAGAGAAAGAGAGAGAGAGAAAGAGAGGGAGAGAGAGAGAGAGAGAGAAAGAGAGTAATATAACGAACGTTGTAGAAAAATGTGATTTCGTAATGAAAGAAGAAAAGATTTCAAATACCTTTCGAACGTGTTTTACTACGTGTAATGAATACGTAAATAAAATCGATAAGAAGACAGATGTTATTAGTTAAGAGATATAATCGTAAATATATAATGTTTGTATTAGGTACGATCTATTGTTTATATCGAATAATATTTTTACTCATGTTACGAAACATCAAGAGTCACCGATGTAAACAATGATATAAATATAACGCGTGAAATAGAAATAGGTTTAGTTTTCCTTCGTTTCTCCTTCGAACAGTAACTCGAACGGAACTGCGTAGCTCAGTAAATCTCAAGAATTCAGAGAATAAGTATTGGTATGTAAGTCGACTTATACTCGATTGATTAATAACTGAAACTAAGAACTTTCCAACTTCTGTTTATTACGTATCGTAACTTGAACGAAACGATATCTATTTATAACTTAGTCAACTTAATAAATATTATTTTTCAAACATACTACCTAGGCTCTCTCTCTCTCTCTCTCTCTCCCTCTCCCTCTCTCTCATTCTCGTAGAATCAGTGCGAATCGAGAGCAAAGTTTTTTTCCTTTAGATTGAGAGTTTTCATCGAATCGGAGTTTCATAGTAGTTGGCCGAGGGAATCGGTGGCCGGAAGCCAAACACACTTTTCTTTCGTCTCCTGCTGTGTATCAAAACGTCCTGTCGGAGATGCGGCCTTATACGAACGAGAATTTTTCGATATCGTCTCAACGAGAAATGTGTAGAAGATATCTACCTTCGTTATTATCATCTCTCTTTTCTTTACGATCAAAGGAAGAAAGAGAGAGAGAGAGAAAGAGAGAGAGAGAGAGAACATCCATACAAAAAAAAAAGAAAAAAGAAAAAGAACATTGTAAGAATTCTTTCAGATATATTTGAAAATATCTACTATCTGTTTCTCAAAGTATCTTTTATTATCATTATGGTACTATAGGGTGCCCGACATCGTACTACTAATAAGTGGTGGCACCAGCCACATGCTAATGCATAATGCCGTTCAAACAACTGTTTAAGCAGTCCCAAGTTAAGTGCGCCCTATTCTTTCCTCGAAGTTCACCACCCTACCTACTCTCATTCGGATTTTCGAACGACAGGATTTATTTTGTCCAGCGAATGAATCGAAAGCGATAGCGTTTTACATATGTTCGTTATAAGCGAGATATTTTGAAAATATTTTTAGAAATTCGTATTACATATTATATATATATATATATGTTTTTATAAATTTGATATTAATATTCGTTTGATTACAATTTTAATGATATAATATTTATTTTAATTTAATAGATATATTTTTGATATTACACGAAATAATACCTTTTTCTTTCAGACGAAAGTAATCTTTTTTTGTTACTCTTCTTTTTTATTTCTTTTTATTCTTATTTCGTTTATACAGTATAAATATATTTGAATTTGATTTTGATATTATTTCGAGCTAAGTAAATTGCGAGAATGTGACAATAATTTTACAACCTTGTGTACGCGTATATCCCATTTTCGTAGGATGCTGATTGAGGACAGATGCACGAGTAGGGGTAGTGCACTGTACGGTACAGATGAGGGTACCAAAAGACAGAAAGAGAGAAAGTACAACGACCCCCTTCCTCGAAAATACAATAGCGCACTGGCTCTCTTTAGCTTGGCCATGGGCGACCCAAAAATCACTCGTCTATGACAAAGAACCGTGTTCGCGCTGCCGCAAATATGTTGTAAATATTCGAAACTGAGAGCGTCTCAACGAGCCAAATATACAAAGATACTCATTTTATAAACTTACGAGTATACTTCGTTTAGCCACTACTACTAACTTTATAAAGCGTATAAATGTTTTGCGATTTATAAAAAAAAAAGAGAAAAAAAAAAAAGAAAAAGAAAAACAAAATAAATAAACAAATAAATAAAGATAAAAATAATCGAAAAATTATAGAAGAAAAAACGAGAACGTAGAAGAAAAATATAAGTATATTGCGGTAAAATATGAAAAATTGTGATAGGAGAGCGTTTTGATCGAGACAGAAGTCTGTTTCGTTTCCATAAAATCTGGTCCTCGCACGACCGACCAAAATCCTAATTAAACGGCAGATTCGAATCGTCCTCCCCAAACCTCCTCCCCCGCTCTCCCCTTCCTTTTCACTCCTCGTACAAGCTTAATCCCGGGAAAGCGCCGATAATATCGAACTATACGCTGAGTTAATTAAATTAAAATACTCGTATAATAGCGTGCCAGATGGCATGGCCAGAACACATAACTTGGTATCGAAGAGGACTACCCCTCTCTCCTTTCGACTATCGTCCTCACCGTCCCTTCTCTACCCTTACGAGCGCTATAATACGTAACTCGTTTGGCCTTGCAGGTTGACAAAAAAGCAAAGGGGCGGAACTGTCGCGGGATTTCGCTTGGCCAAAGCGTTTAGGGGGAACTTTTGGCTACTTTTCGTAGACACTTTTAGGAGTCTCTTGACCTCTTAGTTCTATACAATTTTTTTTTTTCTTTTATCATATATATATATATATATATATATATATATATCCTTTGTTCTCGAATTCGTATATTTTCAATAAATTATTCGAAAGCAGAAGAAAGATATTTAGAAAAATATAATACATATATACATGTTATAAGATATAATATTAATATTATTCCATTGTGTCGTAACTTATGCATTCATTGTTTATATCTTCGTTTTTAAAAATATTTCATTGTCTTAGAATAGAAATGAAAATGTAATACAAGTGATCCAGTTGATAGGTATTATCGATATGATAAATCTTAGGTACGAGCAAACCGATAAGCCGAAGATGATTACCTATTTACCAATGACAATCGAATGGTTATTTAGTTTCATGGGGTGAGAATCGAACCGCAGTTTAGTATTACGAATGCCCAAGGCAGGTCGTTAGCGGCGTTGTCGCAACATATGCGCTCGGCAGGCTCCATATGGGCCATCATGGACCCAAATCCATAGCCCCAGAAGCTAAAGGACGTACGTGAAACGAGGGATCGATACCATTCCGCTTCTTAATCGGCCTGCTTTGCGGCTTTATTCCATGTTTTCCGTGGCTTCGAAAAACATTTTCCATATTTGCAAGAGAAAGAGAAAGAAAGAGTTTATTTATTTCTCGTCTAGATATATTTAAGTGTAAATCAATAATATAATTAATTAGAAACGATTATAGCTAGGTTCGTAAAATTTTATAGGAGTACGGGATAGAAAGGAAAGAAAACAAAAAAAGAAAGCTAAAGTATTTTTTCAAATAATGTTTATTATAAAGTACTCATTATTAATAAAACATTAGACGTCACGATTGAAGAAAGTATCATGAAATATTAACGAGACAACTACTAGTGTATCGTAGTTTCGTTGCGGTTCGCTTATTGCAAAGGAGAGACGGTCAGTCAGTGATGACTTTAAATGCGACCATATGATGAGGGGTTCTAAAAACCTGGTATTTTTCACGAGCATTCATCGTAGCATAGAAGAGTACGTAGTTGCAGCGCACCCTCGAGAAAGCGAGGACGAGCTTGATGCAGCAAGTGCGTGAATGGTGTAGGACTATCGCGAAGGCGAAGAAGAGCGAGAGAGCCCCTGCAGAGAGAACGAGAAAGCGAGAGATATACATAAAGAGAGTGAGAGAGAGAGAGAGAGAGAGAGAGAGTGAGTGAGTGAGTACGGGCAGCAAGCAGGTTGACTAGCTTTGTCCATGGTCGATGATGACGATGGGGTCGGTCTCCGCACAGATGGGCCGCTAATCTCATTGAAAACTCATGAGGACTCTCAGGGGCACCGAGGGGGTTGTAGCTTGAACCCTGGCCTGGAAGGCTGCTCTATGGGTTCTTGCATGTGGGCCAAGCACCGTACCAACCACCATATGTCCTACGTATATGCATACGTAGACGAGAGACGAGATCGCGCGTGGCATGTGCTATCGAGCTATGTAGCTTTTACGGATGAACTTTCTACTTAGATTATTTTGACTCATTTTTTCTTTCACCATTTCTTATTTCTTTCGTCGCTTTTCTTTTCTTTTTTTTTCTATTTCCTTTATTTGTTTTATTTCACTAGCACCATCCATACTCTATACAGGCAGTCGACGGAAATGGTCCCGAAGCTTTTCCAACGGATACTCTTCCGAATATTATACATATACATATTTAAGGTTGCGTGTCCACCATTAAGATCATCGTAGCATAACTCCCTGGCGAGTTGCTTTCTCATGCATATTCCTCGGTTTTAACAAATGCCTCGCCAGAAACACTGAGATGGTTAGAGAAAGGGCCACGAAAGAAAGGCGGCTAAGAGGAAAAGAGAGGGAGAGAACTCCGGCACGCACTCTCCAGGCATACGGGGTTGCTTTACGAGCGGACAACTAAGGTATGCTCTGGATTTCGTCCTTGCTTCTCTCCTTTCTCTTTCTCTCACTCTCTCTCTCTCTTTCTCTCTCTCTCTCTCTCTCTCTCTCTTTCTCTCTCTTCTCTTTCAACCTCTTCTTCCACCTCCGGCATAGCTGCGGTTTTCGTAATGTGCCCTTTACAACGGACCAAGCTAAAGCTTACGAAGGAAGGGATTTTATACCCCTAGATATCTCGGTAGCGATGCACCGACCGTAACCGAGTCCGTCGCAACTCGGTGACTTTGCGATACGCTGCACGTAAACCTCTTTCCACTTTCCAGGCAGATACCAACTGTCTAGCGTCTTCTTCGCTTTTCCTTCTTTTAATTTCGCGCTTTCTTTTCTTCTTTTTCTTTTTTCTTTTTTCTTTTTTCTTTTTTCTTTTTTTTTTTTATTTATTTACTCGGTTTTTTCTTTTTTTTAATTTTCTTTTTCCCTTTTCTTCTTTTCGCACAAAAATAAATTATTCCTTTAATCATTAACGAGAAATCAAATTGAAAATCCAAATTTGTTGATCATCTTCGGTGTTACGATACAGGTACACATCAGTTCTCTTTATTCCTTACGACGTACCAATGAGATCGAGGAAGAACGCAGGTGTCCGGTTAGTCTGAGTCAAGACGAAGACGTCAAGATCGGCCGAAAATCGAGACACTCGAACAAATTACACATAGGGACAGACTTAATCTAGGTTCGTTTCTCGGGGGAATCCAAGAAGAGAATCAAAGTCACATCTGTGAGATTTAGAAGAACGTCACGGCCGTCCTGAATCTCACCTCGTGGTAAGATTGATGACGTCTCTAGCGCTTTCTCTCTGCTCGTTCTACCAAATACGTGTTCTAAGAAGAGAAGGTCAGAAATAGTAGAGGATACGATGTCTGACTGCTAAGCGGTAAACGACGTTTCCCTATTCAACATTAACGAATTTTCATTTATTCACCGATGATATTATAATTCATTTTAAAACGAATATTTCATTGCTTTTACTTGTTTGCCAACTGTTTCAATGGCAAGGAAAAATTCTATTTGAGAATTCGATTCTTCCGATACATCCGAGAAGAAATCGAAGTGCAAATCGGACAAGACGGATCGACGATAGGCGATTAAACGCGTCGTCGAGGTAATCTATTCCGCGTAACGGGAAACAAGTTTTCGTGATGGTGTGGGACGTGGGAACGGAGGGAGGGAGGAAGAGAGGGAGGGTGGGTGGCGGGGGGTCGGTCGGTTGGCGTGGGCAGAATCGTCCTGCTAGGTCCTGCGGGGTCTCGGCGTCGTTCATCATTCGTTGGAACGGCGAAACGCTCGGTAGGTTTGGCTTTTCAGGGCAGAGGAGAAAGATCTGCATAGCGAGTCGGCATCTCGGGACGAGCGAGCTAAGTGCGGGATTATGCAAAGTAGTGGCCATACAGTATAAAAATACGGAGCGACTCTGCGCCATCTTTTCCGGACCATTCTAATAACTCCCTCTTGGTGCACCCTTATTCACCCTCTCTCTCTCTCTCTCTCTCTCCTCTTCACCTCCAGTCGTTGTCGTCGTCGTCGTCGTCGTCGTCGTCGTCGTCGACGCAGAACCTTCTTTACTCTTCATCCCCCTCACCCCCGCACAATGAACCACAGCTTTGCTCGAATAAGATTTCAGCAAATATAACCGTAAAACTGTCGACGAAGCTACCGTCTACATACCAAGTGACTCTCTAAACTCGAACTTAACGTCACATGAAGATACGTCAGGCTCTGTTCTTTGAATATTTGTCAAAATAAAGGCATAGGTTAGGATTAAAACGAATATATCGATCGAAAACATTGTCATTAAATATGCATTCCATCCAGTCGGTGCTTTTTGAGATTCATCCTGGATCGTGTACAATAGGGATGCGTAAATGTATTTAAGAGCATCTTGATACATGGAATGGAAGTCAAAGTACTCATTCTCCCTTTTCTCTCTCTCTCTCTCTCTCTCTCTCTCACTCTCTTTCATAGTTATCGATACAAATCAAATCGGCGTTAACAGAATGTTTTTAAGAGCACTGGACCACATGGCGCGTTTGTAAGACCAGTCATCGCTATGATTAATGATTCATGAATATTTAGACGTATCGTTTAATTTAAATACATTATGATTCGTCATCTCTTGATTATCGCGAACATCTAACAAAATCTGTAAGTGATCATTGTAATTTGATCGATCGTAATTTAACATCAGGTTCATTTTACGTTCATAAAGAATTATTCCTTAATTAAAGAGTTCTCTCATTATCTTTTCATGGATATAAGAGAGGTATTCGTCTTTCCTTGAATAACTTCGGAGATACATTTTAGAAAATCTTAGGATCCTTCGAAAGGATCCAGGAGGAGAGAGAGAGAGAGAGAGGGATAGAGAGAGAAGAAGTTTCTCGCTTAACTTTGGAAAGTACTCGAGTAAAGGGCCTCACGTTTTCCGCGAGAGAGCAAGACGCGAGATAGCGCCGTCTGATAAGGGCCGCTTGGAAGTCGCATTAATTTTCCTCGTAGCTCCTTGAACCCCTACCCCTTCTTCCCTTACTCTGTCGCTTCTCCCTTTCTCTTTCGTGAATCTCCTTTCCTCTCGAAGCTTCAGTTAACTTACTCTTCTCTCTCGATGTTTCTGACGACGATAGTTGTGGTAGTAGTCACGTTGGTAGAGGACGACCGTACGCAGAAACGTTTCTCCTTGGCATTTAGGTAAGGTATTCACGTAACACATAAGCAACGCCACGCGAGCAGCCCACCGTGTGCACAGAGATAAGAGCCAAAGGTGGCATCTTAGCGGCACTTCGAATTAAATTCCCGACGGCGAGCACACAACCTCTCTCTCTTACTCTCCTACTCTCTTTCTCTCTCTCTCTCTCTCTCTCTGTTATTCTCTTGATATCACTGAAACGATATCAACAAGAGGAGGCGGGGACAAACTTCTATAGTGTGCAAAGGCACCGGTATACATCTTGAATTCAAATTTCGCGCCAGTTCCAAAGGTCGAGTTTATCTCGCGTTCAGTTATGAGTTTAAGTTCCATTTTATCCGAACAATTCTGATAATTATCATGTCCGTTTATTTTATGTTTTTTTTTCTTTCTTTTTTTCCTTTTTCCTTTTTTACTTGTTTCTTTTTTTTTTTATTTTTTTTATTCTACAAGTCTTACGAAAAAAGATCAGACGACAAAATAATCAGACGTTTCATCGTGGCATAAAAATTTTTGACGTTTTAAGACAGAACGTCTCGTTTCTTCCAGTTACTCCATTTAAGAGAAAGAGAGGTCCACTTTATATGCATGACCCCGGTAATAAGTCAAGGAATTGCTCGCACGTCCGTAAAATCTAAATCGTCCGCACTCATCTGAAGAGATCTACGTTCTGTCCCTCTTAGTCGTAGAACGAGGCCGCACACCGTGCTCGGTTATTTTAGCAATCCTCCAAACTCGTTACACATTCAATTTATCAGCGACTTGGAGCGAGACAAGGCTCGCTTGAAAATTCCTTAAGTACGTTTCCCTTCTTTGTAATATACTTATACGTACGTATATCTACATTTTGTAACATCGTCGCGAAGGGACATCTTTTTGACTTAATTGGAAATTCGAGAGTACGACGAAAAGAAAACAAACGAAAGAGAATCGAAATGAATCGAGTGAAATATGGCCGGTGCAAGAGCGAGCAGATTTTCAATGGAGTTGGTAAAGCTTTAGGAGAAAGATAGAAAAAGAGAGAAAGAGAAAGAGAGAGAGAGAGATGAAAAGGAAGAAATCGTGTTAATGGTTGATTGATAAACGACCTCTCTTCATCGGCTCTTCATCGGCCGCATATTTATCACCTAACTCTTCGGTAACTTCACCGAATCGGCCGTTTCTGCAGAACTTCTGCCAGCAAAGCGAAAAACGTTGGCAAGAGATATAGCCGCTTTCGTTGGAAGAGCGAGAGAAACCGAAATTAATTCATGCGTCTGCGTTCGAACGAATATTCCGTCTTTCAGTTTTATAACCAATGGCAGAATGCAAAACGATTGGACGTGATTAATTTCAAAACGAACGATTGTACCTCTTATATCGTGACTACGTCGTTATAGATATCATTCGATAAATTTATTAGATAGTCGATGAGAAATAATAAGAATCGACTGGTTCTCGGATCGATGCTCTTTTAATTATATCCACGATGATATTTATGATTTATCTTATCCAATAGAATGGATCGGTATATATTTCATCGAAATATATTAATGCGTACAATCGACTTGACTAAAGCTAAAACACTTTGCTTGGTGTCACTGATGTAAGGTGTCCCTCTGCTTGATCTTCCCTGTGTTCGATGTCACAGTGCTAACAGCTTCCACGTGCCTGACACGTGTCAGACGTTAGCGTGTGACAGTCCCACGTTTTAACTTGGATCATTTAGTGAACCTGTACTTTCCGATCGATTTAAATCTTGCTATAAGAATTTATTTAATATTAAATAAAAAATACAAAAACATTTATATATATATATATATATACACATATATTTTCAATGATATTTATTAAATTGAATATTTATTAAATATATTTATCTACTTTTAGAAACAAGATTGGAGTGATAGTCAAAAAAAATAGTACAAAACGGGATGAAGAATAAGCACGTCGTCGTCTTTAACATCACGGAAGCATGACAGTACGATCGGCAATAAATATGGTCTATATAATCCAGGAATGGCTCTGGCAAGATATAGAAGAGCTTCACGACTCCCTGCCGTGCGACGCGTGTCACACATAACGTCGTAGTAACGACTTTTCCAACTTTACGACTCTCAATTAGGATTAAATCCGATTGCTACCCTTAAAGGTATATAATCGAGCAATGTGGTGGTCGCCTTGAGAAAATCATTCATCCCTTGATTGTACATTAACGATCTCGAGGATGTGGTGAAGTAAAAAAAAATATTTTGAATCTTTCAATTTCACTTCAAACTTACATAAGTTTAAGAAGAATAAATACTTGATGAGAAATAATAAGAAATATCGAAGGATTTGCAAGAGATCGGAAGTTTATTTGGGAATGTTTGTTGGTTGAAAGATTGTTGGCTGATGATGGTGGTAGTGATTGGAGGATATTGGGAGGAGGGAGGAGGGCTAGCTCAATCGAAAAGTCATTACAACTTTTTGCCGACTCAATCAAGAAGTTAATGTCCTTTAACCTTTCCAGATATTCCCCGTAGATTTGTTGGAATCACGAGAACAACATAAAAATCCGACATCTCTCACATGCGCGATAAAATAGATTACTGGCCTATGATTGATCGCCTATTGCTATATCCAGAGAGGAGGAGCTTAGATTTCTTTTCTTTTCTTTTCTTTTTTTCTTTTTTTCTTCATTTCTTTCATTCGGTTGTTACCTTTTTGGTCGATATTACGGGCGATTAACGTTGGACATAATCATGTATTTCAGGTATTTCTCATGGTTTTGGCAACTATCGTATGTCATTTAGTTAGGATCAAGACATGTATCGAAGCGACGAGAAACGGGGATAATTCGTCAGGAAGATAATCCTCGAAGCGATGATCCCTTACGGACCTTGGTGGTACCTTCTGTCTAACGCAGTCGATTTAACGCGCCTCATTTCTCTTTGTCGACGAGTCGTTCGTTTCGGCCAATGACCACGAATGAAGATCTATCGTATGAAATGAGAAAGAGAGAAATAGAGAGAGAGAGAGAGAGAGAGAGAGAGAGAGAGAGAGAGAGAGAAAGAGAGAATAACGTTTGCTCGTTGATGATTAGATCCTCATCGAACCCGATCCTACAAACCCGTATAAATTTGTATATCCTATAATTTATCGTCACCGAAGTCACGCACAATACTCGATGGAATACTTTATCCTCTCGGAAACGAGAACAGGTTTCAAAACGAAACAGGTGTGTCAGCAGAACTGGGATCGTTCCACAGCTTGCAGAAAGTGCTGATTCCGAAAGGATCGATACAAATTTATCTTTTAGCTTTCATCGTTCCGAGTTGAATAATCGATTCCAGTGTATATATGACTCTATATATATATATGTGTATATATATAAATATATATATATATGCAATTATTATTTCCTAAAATTCTAATATTATCTACGAATAAAGAAAGATCGTCGATGAATCCGTCGAAGGTTCGAAATTGTTCGAGCGTAAAATAATAATGATAATAATAATGAAAAGAAAAAAAAAGAGAGAGAGAGAGAGAAAGGAAAAGAAAGAAAAAAAAATGAAAGAGAGGAAAGGACAAACGAACCGGCGTTAAAAATATTCAAGATCGTTCGTCAGGCTGTATTACAGCATAAAGCATCCTCCCTCAAGCGTTGTCCTCGCGATCGGCACTACCACCATCGTCACCACCGTCACCAGAATTCTTTCGAGAATAGGATTGCGCAACGCGTGTGAGAGAATGAAAGAGAGGAGAAATGGGAAGGGGGTGCAAAGGGGGCTGGAGGGGGAGGGGAAGGGATAGATATAGATATAGGGGTTGGGGTGAGTGGGAGGAAAAAGGAGTCGTCGACGTCGACGGCGATCCCGGGCACATGTGTCGAACCTGAAATATGTAGGCGTGGTCTAGATGGGACTAACAGACGCGTCCCGACGACCGAATATGTTCACCCCCTTCGTATGCTCCACCCTCGAATAGTAGTCGACGCTTCGCTATTGGCCGACACCACTCTCGGTCGTCTCCACCTGCCTTCGAGCTACCCTCCACGAAGCAACCCCTAAATACGGGGGATGCGCGAACGGTTCCCTCATTTTATCCTCGGCAACGCCGAAACGCGCGTCCACCAGAGTGTTCTCCGGGATTCGAATAGGAATCAGTGCGCGGATTCGAAGCCTCAGCCTCGGATCTTAAACTTCTTGTGCTCCCTCGAGAATTATATCAGTGTTAACGAATGCCATCAAATTGGGAGGTGCCTTTCATAAGGAGAAGAAGAAGAAGAAGAAGAAGCCGTCGTCGTGTTTGTAAAGTCGACACGTTCAACTAACAAAGGCGTATAGCCTAAACACGTGCTCCGGTAAGCGTCGCGTCATTTTATTTCCTTGATAAGATATTTAATCATTCGTTATATTGTATTCTTTTTTTTTATCATGACGAGTATGATCGAATATAAATATGCAATACGATGAAAATCATCGTAGTTTCGGGGATTCGCGATTGATGAAATGTATACGCATGCACGTTAACATCTAAATAACCATCGACAACCGATACATCATTTATGTATGCCCCATTGACGGCAAATTCTCGCAGGTTGATCATACGGAGCGAGCAGGATGACAATGGAAGATCGCACGGGTGGCATCGACCGTGCCGCCCCCGCTACATCGACTACGGCGACAACGACACTTTTAACGTCTGGTAGTCCGTCCATGATCAGTGATGTCACGTCGGATGCATCTTATCCTCTCCAACGTGCCAGTAAGCGTTCCTTCGACGTAGCATTTCTCGTCGCACCCGATGAGAATCTGGCTCGTAGACAGAGCGAAAAGCTCAGATTAATTTCTGGTAGAAAGGATCGTACGAGAGAATCCATATCATTGGATAATTCTTTGGATGCCGATAGATTGCCACAGAATTTGACTATAAAGCATTATGATAGCGACTCTAGCTCGCAGGAGAGACGAAGGCTGATGCATTGTACCGAAAATTCTCTCAGTCCACCGTATGTATCTCCGAGAACGTTAACACCGACATTACCGGACATCGATTCGCGAAGATACGTTCCTACACGACAACAAAAGAGTCCAAGCCCACCTGGGTTTACAGCGCAACCATCATTATTAAATACTTGCACGGAATCATTGGATCCAAGTTTAACATGCGGCAAGGTTTACGATAGCGGCTTACAGTGTACCGTGGAAAGGCACGGTGAATCCAGGAGCGCTTTTACGAAGGTTCATCTTGGTAGTCAAAGAAATGGTTTTACCGACGACGGACAAACCTCACCAAGATCGTCCATCTCACCGGACGATCGAAGGGAAGGTTATCAAGAGAGCATTAGTCCTCCGGTCGTTCCTTTGGCAAGTGCGACTACTTACAAATATACCAGTTTTCCTAACAAAATGACGTATCCCTTTTTGGTCGGTCCCGAGGCTGCGACCAGTCAACCCAGTCTCTTGGAGAACTTGAAAATTCCTCAGATAGCACAACCGCCAAAAGTACCAAGCCCAAAAGTGGCAACCTTTCGGCCGGATTTACCACCAGTTTATCCAAATCTTTCGTACAATCCTATATCCGTTTTTCCACCAATGGCAGACGCTTTGACAAGGCCAAGGTTCTTAGCCACTGCCGCTGGCGTCGCTGGCCTTTTACCACCGTCCTTCGCGGCTTTGACATTGCCCGCGCAAAATGTTTGCGCCAAGTGCAATCTATCCTTTCGTATGACATCTGATTTGGTATATCACATGAGGTCTCATCACAAGAATGAAAACTCCGGGGAAGCTGCTCGTAGAAGGAGAGAAGAAAAATTGAGATGTCCTGTTTGCGACGAAAGCTTTCGCGAGAGACATCATCTGACAAGGCATATGACAGCTCATCAGGATAAAGAGAGCGATGCTATCGTCGATCAAGTCGAGGTCAAACGACGTACCACCACCGTTCATAGCAAGTGACGCCGAAAATCCTCACCCGACGATGATTTACTTGCCAGCGGATATTCTTTCGAGAATTGACTCTTCTTTTTTTATCTAATTAACAGACCAAAAGAATAACGTCGATCATCGAGGATCGTTGTGTTTTAAACAAAAATATTTCCGAGACTTCGTGCAATCCTTTCTTTTCGTTTTTTCTCTTTTTTTTTCCTTTTTTTTCTTAAATTTATTTTTTGAGTTCTTATAAATAAAACGAAAAGACGAATACGCCCACCTGACGTATTTCATCGGGTAATCAATTTTTGTTCGAAATATTACGTAGGATCGTTCTGTTAAAAATGTTTTTCTTTTTCTTTTTCTTCTATCGTTTCGTTTCTATCGTTAATATTATCGTTCAATATTAATTGAGACAGTGGTACGTTTCGTGATATTGTTTCGCCAGTGTGTTAAAGGTATATATATTATATATTAAAACACTGTCGCTCTCAATTATGATTTAAAAAAAAATAATAGACTCTAGTCGATAATTTTGTGCAGCTCGAAAACTAGAACGTAGATCGTTCGAAAATTGAACTTTATCTCCAATTTAAATAACTTCTCACGTTCTTCGTAACGCACATATTAAGTAAAGGCACTTTATGAAATCTGTGTCGTGTATATATATATATATTATATATATATACATACATGCATATATATATATATATATTTACCACCGCGAAAATTAATCACTATAGATATACTATAACCAATCAAATTTATCTTACGATCCGCGGTGAAAAAGAAAAAAGAAAAAAGAAAAAGAAAAAAAAGAGAAAAGAAAAAAAATGGACATTCCCTCTCTAGTCAATATTAGGTAGGAAGAATTTGTAAATATCTTTGTCGATCACAATTTAACTGTCATACACGTACCTATCTTGATCGCATATCAAACGTGCGATAGCACTCCGATAACACACATTTACCAATATTAAAAGAAAAAAAAAAAAAAAAAAAAAAAAAAAGAAGAAAATGGCATACATATACATACATATATCTGAACCGTACTATAGGCGAAATTAAAAATGGACAAAGAGATCGATCATGTCCCTTTTAAGTATCACGAATGGACAGGTGAATGGAAGAGCAAAAGGGTTGGAGCAATAAAGTCTGTTTCGGAGTATGTTCATATTCACAAATGGGTGGAGGGGGGAGGGAGGTGCAACGATGGTGGCAATAAATAGATCGTAAACCATATCCCGCGTCACACACAAACCGTCGGAGCGCGCATAATGGTAGGAAACAATGAATGCCGTAATCGGAAACAGTGCCGGTTTGTTATCTGCCATTTACACTCCATTTAACTTCAAACAGTGAATCGGCCAGCGCAGGATTCGCGTTTTAAATACACGCGACCTCCGAACCCACTACCACCTTCTCTTCCTCCTCCTCTTACTCCTCTTCCACCACCATCTTCTCCTCCTCCTTCTCTATTTCTCTTCCACTATCACCTCCTCTTCCTCCCTTTGAATTTACCCTTCGAGCCGGCGCGTCTCGCATCGCCTCGCCCTTTCCCATCCATTCGCCACTGTTACGAGCTTAACGCAGGGTTAAGCGTTGTCCTCGACCAACGAGTATTTAGTAATCGTGTGAAATCGTTGGATTATCGTCGTTTTGTTTTCGCACTCACCTTAACTTTCGTTAAGTTTTCTTTTTTGTGTTTCTTTCAATATTTTTTCTCCCTTTTCTGTCTTTTTCTTTTTTTTTTTTATTTTGTTGATGAAGAAATCGATTCATCGAAGATTATAAATTGGTAAATCATAATCAATGACGAATTGATGAAATGATAATCTTTCTCTTTAATTAAGAAAAAAAAAAAAACAAAAAAAAACAAAAATAAAAAAACAACAACAAAAAAAAGAACTAAAAATATATAACTGTAAAAATGTATACTAGATCGTTTGAAAATTTTTGCGACGTTGTAGGTACTAATCACGAATTTTTCATGAAGTCATGTACGGTCAGATTCGTTCGTAAGAAATTATATATATATATATATATATATATATATATATATATATATACTTATATATATATAATATATATATAAGTTCGAATAAGTATTATCTACAGTATTCTGTACAGCAATAATCACAGTAGCGTGTAAATATTCGCAGTAGAATTCTCTTCATTGAGTCTCTAGCGAAAGGATAAGTCGATTTAAAATTGCAAGCTATTTCACAAATAAATCGACGTTGTAATCATTCGATACTTCAACATAAAAATCGTTTCACGTGTCTAATTCATACGAATTTATCGAAATAATCTAATGTTTCCTTGACAGGCACTTGTTAGAATTACGGATAAGCCGATAGATATTAAGTCCGTGTAAATTATTCATCTTTAGATATCTAAGAATATTATAATATAAATATATATATATGTTCTGTTTTATTTTATAAAAATTATTTATTGCGGATAAAAAAGTTGCATCTAGTCGATGTAAATACAACATTGTACATATTTACTGTATGTATTCGAAATCGTTGTTAATGAATAAAAGAAATATCCATAATGATGGAAAAAGAAAAAGTAGGACGGTTTGAGGGACCTCACCAATTTTATTATTTTTTTCTTCGTTTTCTTTTTTTTTCTTTTTTAATTGAAGATCACAATTAATTTGATCGTTAGTATTGTGAAGGAAAATTATTTCGATTTGTCGAATTATTAAAAAAAAAAAAAAAAAAAAAAAAAAAAATGTAGAAGAAAAATATACGCGAAAATTTTGAAACTTACTTTCTCAATTTTTCATTGTACTGAACAATGTGGCTGAGCGTAGATAGCGCTTGGTAAGAAACAAATCGATTTCTCGTTCTCCTATAGCATCCGCAGAACGCTAACCGAAGAAAGCCGATTACGAAGCAATAGATTAATTTCTGGCCACTCAAAGAACCACCCTGATCTCACAATTTCGAAGTAGATATCAAATCGAACCATAGGAGTCTTATCATTTTTATTTTTCTCCATTTCATAGCGTCAACCCAACTAGAGATATCATTTTTATTAACTATTATAAATATATTTCATCTAATTATAGATCTTAAAACAGAGAAGTTTTAAAACGATAGATTCACGATAAGAAAGAGAAAATGTGTGTGTGAGAAAGAGAGAGAGAGAGAGAGAGAGAGAGAGACAGAGACAGAGACAGAGAAATATTATCAAAAAGAAAAAATAGTTAATACGATTCGAGTGACGATCGACTTGTTGAATAGTACAACTCGAAAACGAGAGATCCCTAAAGGATCCTACGCTTCAAAAGAAAATCGGTGCTCTCGAGAGAAGAAATCCATGGAGAATCCCCTTAAACGGGTAACGTTAAGCTCGTAGAAACCACGGCCAATACGACAAACAATCTCTTACTGCCCTTCGAAGCCGGCTTAAATTTTGGCCCAACCCCCTTCGGAAGTAAGTGTACTTACCCTCTGCCCGAGGTCCATAAAGATAAATAACACCGAGCTGAGGCGCTGCATCGAGGAAGAGAGATCCCCCTTTCGAATCATCCCTTTCCATCATTCTCTTTCACTATACTTACGTAAACCAACACAAACTGAAAGTCCTTTCTCTTTTCGCCTTTGGCTTGTTTCAAGATCATTTCGATTCTCTCTCTCTCTCTCTCTCTCTCTCTCTCTCTTTCTCATATACATTCTCTCTAGCATTGTCTCTTTCTTTCGCCCTCGATTCCCACCCTCGTTAGCGATACTACCCGTTACGAATCGCGCGCATGCTTGTTTTGTGTCACCGAAATAATGACAATGTCATAGACGAGGGCCGATTCGTTATGGCGCGCTTGGCACGTGGGCTACGATTGGATGCGGATATGTTAATATGGCGTCCGTTCCAAGACATTAAGTCCACGGCTTCGACGATCCTCGGCCAGGCGAACATCGTCTTCGTGCACTTGACTGAATCTCTCATCGTTGCACTTACAATGTTGTAAGTATACATGTATGTGAGAATACGTAAGCAGTGTGTATATCCGGATATTTCTTTTCTTTATACGCTCTACGTCATTCTATCGATAATTCTTTATCTCTCTCTCTCTCTCTCTCTCTCTCTCTCTCTCTCTCTCTCTCTCTCTCTCTCATTTTTCGACGGGACAGAAAGGAGAATTTACTCGTTATTCGATTCGTCTCTTCTTTCAAATATTTCTTTCTTAACATTTTCAACCCCGAGACTATTTGTTCGTTCAGCATATAGATATATTTATTGGATGGAAATTTTTATAATTAGTAGACATCGTTTAGAGTTAAATAGGATGAACGAAGATAGGAAATAAAAGAGTATGCGATGCGTTTTGTTAAGGAAAGGAGCAACCCCAATTCGTAATTCGTCACAGTTCTTCGTATATGCGATCATATAACTTGACTGCGAACACGTAGTTTACACCGGTCTCACGATAATCCCAGACGGGATTTTGATATCGATGAGCCGTCGCTAAACGATTTCTTTTGATACGCTTACGCTTGTCCAAGGCATATGCTCCAATATGTGGTGTCCTGATTTTCACATGGCACATGTATATATATACACAAAAAAGCAGAAAAGAAACAAAAAGATAAAGAAAAGGCAATTGTCACAAACTTAAAAATAGTCGATCTTATTTGTGACGTTCTTTTTCCTGAATTGCATCTTTTACGCGAATGATCCAATTGATAAAGAGAGAGAAAGAAGAGGGAGGAGAGGAGAGAGAGAGAGAGAGAGAGAGAAAGGGAGACGGAGAGGGAAAGAGAATATTCGAGAGGAGAATAGAACGGACGTCAAACAGCAAAATCGGTGGTGGCGGGTTGGAGGAACGGAAAGGATAACCTTGAACGTGGAAACCGAGAGACGTCTGCTTATTTACGACGTCGGTACGATGAAAAACGGAAGCTGACCCGGGTGCGATCGTGCGGCCGGACCATCCGCGGAAAAGCCGGAGCAAATGTGAGAGAGAGAGAGAGAGAGAGAGAAAGAGAGAGTCGGTGTTGCTCCATTCGGAGGCACTACCCCTTCCTTCTCTAGTCCATCTCTCTCTCTCCCTCTCTCTCTCTCTTCTACCGGAGCGCACCTTGATTTACTGTCGGCGATATTTTCTCGTCGGCGCTAGTTGGCGCCTACCACACCAAACCCACCCCCTTCTCCTAAACCACCCCCCGACAATGGTGCTCGCTTGACATTTTGTTTCGAATTATTGCCCGCGTTTGTTCACCTACGCCTCGTTCCGACTCTACTCTTTTGGACGGGCTTTATATTTTTTTGCGGTCTCTTTGTTGTATTCCTCAACGCGTTGATAGGAATGTTGACGAGCGAGAACTATGACGTATCCTTCTATATATAATATATATATATATATATATATATATGTTTTTTTTTTCTTGAACGAAATGGAGTTGGATTGATCTCCTTAAGGAATAAAATTTTAGGATACAAAGTTATCGATCAGAAAAAGAGAGAGAGAGAGAGAGAGAGAGACAGAGAGGGTTACTATAAGTTAATGAGATCGAATAGTCAGT